AGGGCACCTTCACAGCACAGAACAGCAGCCCAGCCTAGCTTGGCGTCTGCAGTCACAATTCACTTAAGTCCATATCACCTCATCTGTTTACTAGTACCAAGAATCAGAGAACTGTCCATCCAGGACTCTACTCCAAAGCAATGTACCACACATTAGCTCAAAACTTGAGAGGTTCAGTATCTAAACTCTCTTACCTTCAACTCTTGGAGCTTATAGCTTCTACTATGCTGAACATTTCTCCCTGCTTCTCCATATGGAACTGTCGCTCCCCCTCTTCGTGGAGGAGCGACACTGAACCCTGCGCTGTTCTTTCGTCTGCTCGGCCCTCCCCGGGTTTGCTGCTGGTTCTTCCCGGGTTGGCTACTATCCCTTCCACCTCCGTGGAAGGGCAGTTCCCCCTGGCCACATTCCCCACTTCCGCAGGGGAGCGGCACACCGCCGGCCGGCTCTCTTGGGGGCTGCACAGGTGTTCCTTCAGATGTTCCTCTTAGATGTTCCCCATAGATGTTCCTGGTGCATGCCGTCTCTCTCCTCCTTTATAGTCCTCCTCCGCCAATCCCAACTCGGCTGCCCACACGCCGAGTACGCTGCTCTCCTCCAATTAGTAGCAAGTCCTACAGTTTATTGGTTGAACTGGAGGCAGCTGTGCGGAAGCTGTTTACTTCTCTCCCAGCGCCATATTGTGGGAGAGCAGATGCATAGAATAAGTCCTAATTCCAGTAACTCAGTCCAGTCCGGGCTGCTCCCCACATGGAACTACTTGGTTATTGTGTATAATATAAGTAATAACAATAGTATTAGCAAGCAGTTTACATTATGCCTGTCAGGAGCCTCTCTCATATCTGGCTGTAGGATTTCTCTATTGATTTCATCAAAGAGTGACACTTGGCATTCAAGTTCACATATGGGCAGTCCAGGGGTTCTGCAGAGGTACTGCTTTCTGGACAAACTTTCACCAATGAAAATGGAATTAAGTAGAATAAACTATCTATTCTATCATCCTTGGTAAGACCCCAGGGAATTGAAAACACACAAAACCTTGTTGATGAATGTTTATAGCCCATCAGTTGCTGAGTAAATAAGGAGTGGCATAGTATTCAGCCCTGAAAAAGGAGAAAAGGAGTACTGATACATGCCACAGTGTTGGATGAACTTTGAAGTCATTATGTTTAGTGAAATAAGCCAGTCAAAAAAGGTCATGTACTTGTATTGTGCAATTTTATTCATATAACAGTGTGGAGTAGGGAAATGACTACAGAAGGAAACAAACTAGTGGTTACTTAGGGCTTAGGAGAGGGTGGTGATAGCTCAAGGGAACAGATTTTTTTTTGAAGTGATGGTCGAAAATATAAGTGAATATGAGGGCAGTCTTCAAAAGTTCATGAAAAATGCAAATTAACTTAAGTTCAAATTTCCATGAACTTTTAAATACACCCTTGATGACAGAAACTAGGGAATTATATGTTTTTAATGAGTAAATTTTAAGATATGTGAGTTATTTCTTGATAAAGCTCTTAAAATAGTATGTTAGGTGGTGGAAGATTTCTGAAATAAAACTTGAAATAGGAATAAAAGGGAATATCTGTTATGGAGTGTTGAGATTTTAAATAAGGTTGTCAGTGGAAGATTGAGAAAAGTAAAGTAGTGAGGCATTTAGATATCTGTTAAAGAACTCGGCTCACTTGGTTAATCCTCCGCCTGCAGCACTGGCATCCCATGTGGGTGCCGGATTCTGTCCCAGTTGCTCCACTTCCAGTCCAGCTCTCTGCTGTGTCCCAGGAGGGCAGTGGAGGATGGCCCAAGTGCTTGGGCCCCTGAACCTGCATGGAGACCAGGAAGGGGCACCAGGGTCCTGGCTTTGGATTGGCACAGCATCTGCCGTGGCGGCCATTTAGGGGGTGAACCAATGGAAGGAAGACCTTTCTCTCTGTCTCTCTTTCTCACAGTCTATATCTCTACCTGTCAAATGAAAAAAAAAAAAAAACTCCAGGCATAGTGAACAATAACTGGTGGAAAAATTCTAGGGAAAGCTTAGGCAAAGATATTGGAACAGAGTGAGCAAATGAGAATGCAAGAGAATGAAATCATGGAATCAGAGGTAACTGGACTGTGGATCATGTACAGCATTGTAAGCCTTTTAAAGACTTCTTGCTTTTTCCAGGGGTGAGTTGGCAAACCACTGCAAGGTGTTAAGAATGAAAGAATCCGTTTAATGATTTCACAAGATTGTTCTGACTTCTGACTAATCTACTAAAGGAGATTAAAGGGAGAAGAAAGGAGACAGGTTAGGATGCTGCACTAGCCATATTCTGCTAAATAAGAACCAGTCAACAGGGCATACAACCATAAGCTTATTTTCCTGGATTCGGGTTTCATCTGATGCAGGCTAGGCTCAGGTGGCAGCCATGCTGATCCCAGGTGGGTTTGTTCATGAGTCTAAGGTGTTGGTGGAGCCAGGTGGAGCCATCAACTTTTCATCTGTATAAAATATGGCTTTGATCTTCATGCCATTTGGCCATAAAATTTTTAAGGCACCCTTCTCTTAGGCAGATTTTATTCCTACATTATAAATAGGCAAGTAGGTTTTGAGAAATTAGGAGACTTGCCTACAGTCAGCTTCTAGCAAGTTGCAAATTCACTTCTTTGATGAAAATCACAAGTTCACGTCCTCCACGATGTGCTTTTCTAAGGTTTACCATAACTGATATACATAGAGGGGATCTTCTTTGATATCCACATGGTTTCACGTGATAAATATTACTGCCTCACTTTATAGGCAATGAAACTAAGGTGTAGAAAGTATAAGAAAAACTGTATAGATTCTCACAATAAAAGAAAATTCGTTATTTAGACCCAGTGGTATATTATACTTCATTTAAAAATATACCCATTCCTGGGCCGGCGCCGCGGCTCACTAGGCTAATCCTCCTTCTAGCGGCGCCGGCACACCGGGTTCTAGTCCCGGTCGGGGCGCCGGATTCTGTCCCGGTTGCCCCTCTTCCAGGCCAGCTCTCTGCTGTGGCCCGGGAGTGCAGTGGAGGATGGCCCAAGTGCTTGGGCCCTGCACCCCATGGGAGACCAGGAAAAGCACCTGGCTCCTGGCTCCTGCCATCGGATCAGCGCGGTGCGCAGGTCGCAGTGCGCCGGCCGCGGTGGCCATTGGAGGGTGAGCCAACGGCAAAGGAAGACCTTTCTCTCTGTCTCTCTCTCTCACTGTCCACTCTGCCTGTCAAAAAAAAAAAAATACCCATTCCTCTGCTGTCCAAGAGAAGCCATATTTGTCTAACTTTCTAAGGATCCTGCACCTTTCCCTCACCTACTCCAGTAAGGGCCTTGAATTAAAATCCGCACATTGGACACAGATTTCCCGTCTCCACCCCAGCCCTCTGGACTCTCTTTAGATCCTGCACGGCAGTGCCTCCTCACCTTGGGGTAATTTTGGATTGTGTACCAGGGAAATCATTAGATGTCTGCATTTCTGCCGTAAAGTAGGCTGTGTGGCAACTGCATTCCCTCTGCTCAGAACAGCAGGATTATTGTTTCCTTTTCTGTTTTCATAGTTGTGGGTATCATCTTTGGTTAGAATTCCACTGATTCTTTGCTGACCAGACTCAGCCTCTCTGCCTCGTCTTGTAGGATGTGTTCTATGCTAATGCCGTCAGAGGGCATGTGTCTCCACAGGGTATTTTATACTTCCAAAATCCATCCTATCTTGAACATGGATTATTTTTGGTAACCTTATTCAAATGAGTTCTAACACATAACATCTTATCTCATTTTTAAAATTGTAAGTGGTCATGATAATGGACCAAAATTTATGAACCCCAAGAATATAGGACCAGACCTTAGTGTTTAATACAAAAACAAAATCTGTGACAATTTATTTTGTCATACACATAACAACATATCCACTCATTATTGTTTTCCAATGAAAATGGTAAGCAGTTTACTTAGGTGACTATAATGCTCTTTTGTTTTATAGAATCTTTCTTTATGGTTTGAGTCTTATTGCTTGAAACGCAAGCCATTACTTCTCCCTTTTTCCTGTAATGATGAGACTAGATAGGTGATATCTCCTTGTGAGTGTGGAGAACAGCCAGCACGCTCAGGGACTTTCTTCTCTTTCTTCCAGTGTGGCCACATGAGCTCCCCGCTTCGTTTCTCGTGTGGTTTCCACGTGTCCCTAGTATTCTCTTCCTACCATATGCCTACCCTGCCTCACTCAATGTTTTCTCCACTCCGTGCTTCCTTTTTTTTCTCTACTCTGGGGTCAGCTGGAGCAGTCCTGGATCAGTGTGATGCCAACCATCGGTAGGCTGCACCTGGATAGCAGAGCCACTGGAGAATCAAATGGAGAATGTGGTGTGGCCAACAGGACCCAAGAGACTGTGACAACTTAAAATATTCACAAAAATGATCGTCAGGTAATCAAATCCTGCAGAGCAAAATCTACTTATCCAAATTTTGTGTATAAACGAGTTATACAGGTTATAATGTAACTTCATACCACAGCAAGAAAATTTTAGCAGAAGTCGGTTGAAGAAAGGAGATCTGATTTACTTGGTCCCCTCAGCCATTTTGATTTCTTCAAAGGGGTTTCTGAGCAGATTCTTATTCTGCCCAGCTACCTCCCCATTCCCATAAATAATGTTCGCTCTGCTATGAGGTCAAATCTTTGGGCCCTCCCCGAGGTCTAATCTCAGTTCAGACTGAGGACAGCTCTGCTTTCCCAACTTGGGCATGGGGGTGGAGGAGATAGGAACAGAGCTGAGTTTGCAGAAACTGGATTGATCCGCTTTCTGCCCAGGCTGCTGTCTAAATAGTGTTCCTACCTGCTTAGTGTGCAGTTCTCCCTGATAGTCTGGTCATGTGCTCTGAGGATGAAATGAACTGTCAGCAGCCTACACCTTGCTGATCAGTCAGGAACGCTCAGTTTTATAGAGAGTGACTTCATTTCCATATCGATTAAGCTGTATCCATTCTATTGACCCTGTCACCTGGGTCAATAGTTAACATCAATAGTTAACTGGGTCACCAGTTAACATCCAGTCGCCCAAAGCAGACTATAGGAGCTAATTTTCCTAAGCAGGCAAGGACCTCCCCTGGTAGGTGGATAGATAAAAGAATCATTGAGTAGACCACCAGTGTGGATACAAGCAGGGCCACTCTCTCAGGCAGTGTGGTCCTGGGGAATTGCTGGCTCAGAATGGGGAGTGTGGCTTGGCTGTGCATATGTAAGTATACTCATGGAAGAGTGGTTGCGTGTTAGCCCTGAAGATTCCTAAGGTAGCCATGCTAGTATTCTATGGTCGACTGGCACAGTAAGTGGGTGGTTGTATTTCCTGGAACAGTCCCAGCTGTAAACATTCTCTTTTGCTGTCTCCCTATGTGTATTTGTTCGTGCAGAGTGCTTTGATCATACGGGGTTCTTCTCGCAGATCCAGCGGTAAGTGACGTCACAGGATGCAGCGTCAAATGTCTTTGATAGGCCTATGGTCACACAGTTGAAATTCTGATGCTGATTGGTAACGCTAGGTGAGAACAGAAGGCAAGGTTAACACTCAACATCTCAGCTCTGCCTCTACTGACTCCAGAGCAAGAATCCCCATGAGCTGTGCACAGGGAGGCAGCAGGAGGGCCAGATCCACATCCCTCCTCGAGCTAGGCCATCTGTCCCAGTGTGAACTCCCACTCCTAAATCCACCTCCTCCAGATCCAGTGCTAACATCACTTCTTTTCTGGCAAGAACTTGCGAGCTTTTGTAGATTCACAGGACCTTAAACTGGCTTACCCTGTGTTTGGTCAGAAACATCTGAATGACCATCCCTTTTTCCCTAAGAAATAATGTTTTTTTTGACTGTGAGAAGTGGGTCCATGGCCCCAACCCCGCTTCCCACCCCACAATTTTTAAATGTTTATAAGAAATAATGTTTTGGAACCATGTGTATGTTCATGGCAGGAGAATCAAAGAAGCGAGGATGGGAATTTCTCACTTCTTCCTAGACTCCAGCTAGATCTAAGAAAAACCTGGAGGAGGTACATGAGCCTTTAAACTCTGTGGTTCTTTCTGTCATTCAGTTCCTTTCAGTCTGACTGGAGATTCTGATTTTGTGGAAAAATTACAAGTTTTGGGCTCAAATGAATGCAGAATCCAGCTGTGTGATGTTCAACATTTTTCTAAGCCTTTTTTTGTTCTCAATTTGTTAAGAGGGAATAAAAGCTTTCTGTATATCATCATGGTGACTACTGAAGGTAATAATATGTATAAAGTGCTTAGTGTGGTTAGAGCCTGGAATTTAGTTGGCATTGAGTGGATATTAATTTCCTCCCCTCTGTGGGGAAGCGCAGTCAAAGTCTAGGGAATCAACTTGGTCTCTGAATTGACGTTTTCATATAAATATCATGTTCCCCACTGAAGCTATCTCCATGAAATGATTCATAGGTGAGAACTCTTGGAAGTTAGAAGTTCATAGTTTTAAGGCATAGACAAGTTGCTTATAATAACCTTTCTTTAGATAGAGAACCCACATCTGGGGAAACGTGTAGGCACTTAGTATTAAGTGGTCTGTGGGTTAAAAGAGACTTACAAGATACAATGAAGAAATGCTGCGTATGTGGATTTGTTTGGATCTTGATTTGAACAAATAATTTGTTATATGAATACTATTGTTGCTACTTAAGATTGTTTAGTGTTTTCCGTAATTAAAAAAAACTTATAATGGTGTGTCTATGGGAATAGATAGGTTGGAAGATGGAAGGAAAGTAGAACAAGTCCCAGCAGGCGAGCTACTTGAGGATGAATCCTAGGATTGGTCCCTTGGGGCCAGAAAAAAAGTGAGATATCCACGTACTTGCCATTGAACACAGAGTTGTCGATCCAGCGCCACCTTTTCTGTGCAGGCTGGTACATTAAGCCAATTAAATACTTCTCAGCTCCAGCTAGGTCCTGGAGATACTCCTAGAAGTAAGAAGACAAAATAGCTTCACGTCGGATCCTTGCCTGCTTCCTCTCTTGAGGTGCCAGGACCCGTGATCATATCCAGTCCTGGAATAAGAAAGGCTAGAGGGGAACTCTCTCTGGAACTGGCTGTTGCTGGCACTCATCATTAACCCTATAGAAGTTCTCAGACCTCACAGCGCATCAAGATCCCCTGGAAGTCTTGTTAAAATGAAGACTGATGGGCTTCTGGTTCAATAGATCTGGTGTAGGGGGTCAAGAACTTATAGCCCTAACCAGTGCCCAGGTGATAATGATGCTGCACTCCAGGAACCACACTGTGAAAATGGGAGTGGGGTACTGGACAATCAGAAACAGGTTCATTTCAAATGCGTCTTTTTTTTCTCTTTTGACAGGCAGAGTGGAGAGTGAGAGAGAGAGACAGAGAGAAAGGTCATCCTTTTGCCGTTGGTTCACCCTCCAATGGCTGCCGCGGCCGGCACATCGCGCTGATCCGAAGCCAGGAGCCAGGTGCTTCTCCTGGTCTCCCATGGGGTGCAGGGCCCAAGCACTTGGGCCATCCTCCACTGCACTCCGGGGCATAGCAGAGAGCTGGCCTGGAAGAGGGGCAACCGGGACAGAATCCGGCGACCCGACCGGGACTAGAACCTGGTGTGCCGGCGCCGCAAGGCGGAGGATTAGCCTAGTGAGCCACGGCGCCGGCCGCAAATGCGTCTTTTAAAAGTTGACATGCTGCTCTGCAAAAGATTTTTTTTTTTGCCAGAACTTTGATATTCCAAATGAGGTTGAATCAAGTGAAAACAAAATGTGTTGACTTGCAAGTTATCAGCAAACTGTTGGTTTGATGAGCTGTTTTGGGGGTTAGCAAGGAGTGCAAACTATAGAGAAAGACAAAGGATGGAATTTGAGATGTGCAACACCAAATGGGTGAGAAGAAATAAAGAAGCCATCAGCTTCTCTCCCCACTCTCCTCTTCCTTTCTTTCCTCTTTTCACCCCTTGACTTGCTCTTGGTTTTCTGCCTCAAGGCATCCTTTCTCCTCACCTGGTTACTCATACTAAAGAATATGTGATATACCAACCTTTGCCCTTCGTTAGCCATCTATAACCAACAGTCAGTTACAGGAGGAATTTTTAGAGATAGAGTGAAGGGAAACATAGGAGAGAAACAAGAACAATGCGCATAGAACAGCACCTGGTACTCAGCAAATGCCTAGGATTTGAAGGAGAGACAACTCTAAAGTAGAGTCTACAACTGATTAGAGTATGGCTTTTGCAGTTAGAGTGATGGCTTTTTTGCAGTTAGGGAGAGAGAGAGATAGATTTTCTATTGCTGTTTCACTCCCAAAATGGCCACAATGGCTGGGGCTGCACAAAGCCAAAACCAGGGGCAGGAACTTCACCTGGGTCTCCCACATGGGTGTAGGGACCCAAGTACTTGGGCCATCTTCCACGGCTCTGCCCAAGCCATTAGCAGAGAGCTGGATCAGAAAGAGAGCAGCTGGGAAACGAACCAGCACCCACATGGGATGCCGGCATTGTAGGCGGCAGCTTTAACTACTACAGCTTTAGCCACAAGGCCAGCCCCAGTGTTCTCTAACTTTTAAATAATTTACACATCAGCCCCCTTGGTTAGTTAAATGTCTAGGCCCTTCAAGATACCATCCCCCAGTTGTGCCATGTGGCAAAGATCATAGGGTACGGATTTCCAGCTCTGAGGAAACTGAAGACCATACCCCACTGCTGGTGAGAGATCTCCCAAATCCAGTCTCGAGTTTCTCAGCCAGCTGCCTCTGCATTCCTCGCCCCACCCCACTGCCACTCCACCACATCGCCCCACCCTTCCTACCCTCTGGTGCCAGCGTAGGGTGGGCTGCTTTGTGATACCACTCCAATGCTCTCACCAGTTTTTCTGGTGTGTTGACGATTGCCAAAGTGGATCCTCTTGTTTGACAATCATCTCTGCTTTTGTTCCAAGACAACTCAGAGGTGGACAAGAAAAAACATCTTCCTTGATGAAGATCCCAGTCTTTGGGGCAGACTGAAAAGATTCAAGAAGAGACGGTATGCGATTAGTGGTTTGGATTGTGAACCCAAGAACTGAGTCATAAATAGTGAGCCATGGGTTTCTTTACAGCAATTATACAAAAAATCCTCGATCTAAGGAGAAATTTTGCCCCCTCTAGCCTATCTTCCTGTCAAGAGCATGAAGGGAATGGATTACAGGTCTTTATGGCCACTTTGAGCAAATTCCATAAGAAAGGAGGCGATGAGAAAGTCTCTAAGAATTCAGCACGTAAAGACCTAGAGAGAGGAGAGGTTATAAACTATGAACTTTACCTCTTCCATAGCTCCTTGTGGGACTGATGCTGTCATTCCTGCTCCCAAATATTTCTGGAACTGAAATAAAAGGGAAACCTAAAGATTACTAAAGTTACTAAAAAGTGAATGAAACACACAAACATCAGGGGATGGGAAATTGGGTCCCTGTGACTACTGGTGTCCGACCACTGGAGATACTTTCAGATATTTTCTTGCTTTGAATCTTCCATCTAACTATTTGTCATGCTTGACACCTCAAGCCTTATTTCATGTCTTCTATTATTTCATGTGCTGTGGCAGTAGGTATGCAAAGCTGGGGAAAAAAAGCAGAAAAGAAGGAAAAGAGTAGCGGCAGAGTTTAATATCAGAGGGAGACTCTTGCTCCTTTCTTATGTATGCCTTTGACAGTGTTATCCCAAGAGCTGTGCGGAGCAGGTTCACTGGGCTCCACAGCACATTCTTGCTGCTCTCCCTGTTTCCTTCTTCTTCTTTAAAAAGATTTATCTATTTATTTATGTTTATTTGAAAGGCAGAGTTACAGAGAGGGGGGTTTGAGAGAGAGAGAGAGAGAGAGAGGGAGAGGGAGAGAGAGAGAGAGAGAATTTTCTGTCCTCTGGTTCACTCCCCAAATGGCTGCAGCAGCCAGAGCTAGGCCAGTCTAAAGCCAGAGCAAGCAGGAGCTTCTTCCTGGTCTCCCAGGTGGGTGCAGGTGCCCAAGCTCATGGGCCGTCTTCCACTGCTTCCCAGGTGCATTAGCAGGAAACTGGATCAGAAGTGGAGCAGCTGGGACTCGAGCCAGCACCCACTTGGGATGCCAGCATTGCAGACTGTGGCTTAGCCAGCTACACCACAATGCCAGTCCTTGCTCTCTGTTTCTAGTGTCCCAAAACAAAATTGAAAGTGTGTCATTGTAAAAATGAAAAGATTAAGAAAAGAAGGGGGAGGGCAGAGTGAGTGAGCGTGTGTGGGAGGGCATGGTAGAAGGTATCATTGTGCCCTAACAATTGTGTATGTGGAATACAAAAATATGTTACTGCAAAAACTAAAGGGAAAAGCAGGAAAGGAGGCGGGGAGGTTGAGGGAGGGAGGGTGGGAGGCAAGTATGAATTCCATCTATGAAATTCATGAAATCTGTTATCTTTTTAACATAAACAAAGAAAACGCATAACTCTTGGCAGCTTTTGGACACTTCTCTCATTACTATTTTCTCAGCTTCAAGAATTATGGCTAATTGGATCAGATTTCTGGACTAAGGGGAAATTAGCAGACACGGAAGCAAGTGAACATTTCAAGAGGTTTCCTATTAGCAGAGAAGGGTCCATTTTGCCCCTCTATTAAACATAGGGGAATTAACTTCCCCAAGAACTCGGCCTTCTGAGCAGGCTGCTCAGAATGTGTGAAGTCCGAAGCGTAGGAGGTCTTTACGGATCAGGCCCTGCTGTTTGTCTGCTGTGGCTGAAGACCACTTTAGTTTACCCAGAGGCTGCATTCTGTAAAGTTACAGCTAGGCCTCTGTAGCCAGGGGTTCCTCATCCACTGAGCTAACAAGCTATGCATTGAAACATATTTTTAATCCATACGAGTACCTTATAAGCACCAATTATCATGCTAGACCAATCAGAGAAGAATAAAAACAGGAGATATTAGTCAACCACCATCTGCAAAGCAGAAGACACAGTGTCAGAAGCTATGAGGGGTACAAAGGTGAATGAGGCCGTTTTCATCTAAAATTGTGTCTACACTGAACACGTATAGATGTACAGACTTTTTGGTCCTGTTCCCTAAACATTACAGGCTAACAGTCATCGACGTAGCACTGACATTGTATTAGGCATTATACATAATCTAGAGATGATTTAAAGCTTAAAGAAAGATTGCATAGGGTATATGCAAATGCTTTGCATTTTACACAAAAACTTGAGCATCCAAACATACCGGTAGCCACAGAGACTCCTGGAATGGATCTCCCTGTGGATACTGAGGGTGACTCTGCATTAGTAAGACAGGTGTTAGCATCTATTTCTTATTTTGATCCCAGTGCATGGAATCTTTGTAATATTGAGTAGCCTGGTTTTCACTGGAAACTACTTGGGGATCATAACTGAACGGGCTCCTACATGGTTCAGGGGTATTTTCTTCCTGGAACTCACTGCACAGAGTTGCTCAATTGAGGAAAAGATGAGTGAGAAATGATCTTTTTCCCGAAGACGCTGGCAGTAAACTGTCTTCAGAGCAAGTATGGGCAGTTCTTGCCAAGGGCTTCAAGGGAGGAGGTTTAGTAGGGGAGCCATGCCTCACTCATCTGTCCCCAGAGCTTCTGAAATTGTGCCTTTTGCCTTATAGAAGGTGGTCGGTTAATGTATCTTTTTAAAATTCTACGATGGTTGGTCTAGCATAATACTTGGCACACAACAATGTGCTTAATGTCGTCTTTTTTGTTCTGCACAGGCTTCTTTAAAGCCATTTCTTATCAGTGGACGCTTCTTCAGTCAGTGAAGTCCTTTGGTGCTTTGTCACAAGGATCACAAACAGTCCTCATGCCAAAAGGAAAACGTAGGATCGGAAGATCTTTGGCTTTCCCCCAAATATAAGAGAAAGGGGATTGGGGTGAGCGTTGTGCAGAGAGTTAAGCCACCACTTGGGATGCCTGCGTTGCATAGCAGATTGCTCATCTGAATCCTGGCTGCTCCACTTCTCAGTCAGCTCCCTGCTAATGCGCCTGGAAAGCAACAGTTAATGGCTCGGTAGTTGGGACTCTGCACCCATATGAAAAATCCAGGTGGAGCTCCTGGCTTTGGTCTGGCCCAGCCCCAGCTGTTGTGGCCATTTGGGGAGTAAATCAGCAGGTAGAAGAGCTCTCTCTCTCTCTCTCCCTCTCTCTCTGTGTCACTTTGCCTTTCTAATAAACACATAAACAGATCTTAGAAGGGGGATTAATTAGGAGACCCTTTGTGCTAAAGAATGTCTTGGGAAAGGAGGTCTTGAGGAGGGTCTCTGAGTTCAGCACAGCAGAAACTGGATGGCGAAGGGGAGATCACCATCAGGCACAGTGTCCACTCCAGAGCCACTTGCGGGGATGAAGGCATCACTGCTTTGGCCAAAAATCTGTGGGACTGAAAAGAAAACCAGATGTTGACTCAGCTCCAGACGTGGGTGCTGTGTGAACATAGTGAGCACGCACCCCACGAGGGCTGCTGGGGCAACGTGATATTTAATGGGTAATAACAAATCCTCTGACTCAGGTCCGTGATGTGTGTGTGTTTTTTGTGAATGTGTTCACTATCCAAATTTCTGTTCCTTTCTTGCTCTTTTAAGTGGCAAGTGTTACGCTTTCCACTTGCGTCATGGGGGAAACACTGATTACCCAACTGCAATGTACGACTCACATTTCCTTCCTCATTTATTTTCCATTTTGGCTTCAGGGGTTGGAGAAGATTCTCCTGGCTGAATTGAAGTAAAATCCTGTGATGTGAGCCTTTTTTTTTTTTTTACTGATTAACTGATTTGAATTAATTAATTAGTTTATATGTATATGTAGAGAAATTTCTCCCTAAGTCCTATTACTTTAGAAGTGAGCTCTTAGCACAGCTTTATTATTGAGTTAAGTTGGAGCAGTATTTTCTTTCTGTTTCAAAGAAAGATTTGTTTATTTTAAAGATAGAGTTTTTGGGGGGAGGAGGAAGAGAAAGAGATATCTTCCATCTGCTGGTTCACTCCCCAAATGGCACATGGCCAGGTCTGGGCCAGGCCAAAGCCAGGAGCCAGGAACTGCATCAGTTCTCTCACGTGGATGCAGGGGCCTAAGCACTTGTGCTGTCTTCTGCTGCTTTCCCAGGTGCATATCAGGGAGCTGGAATGGAAGTGGAGCAGCCAGAACGCCAGTCCCACCATGTGGAACACCAGCATTGCAGGCAATGGCTTAACCTCCTGCCCCATGAGGCTTGCCCCAGGAGCTGTACTTTCAAAAAACTTTTCAAAAAATTATCTATGTATTTACTTGAGAGGTAAAGAAATAGAGACAGAGAGAAGAGAGACAGGCACAGGAAGAACACCCATCTGCTGTTTCACTCTCTAGATGCCTGCAATGGTGGGGGGTCCAAAACTGGGAGCCGGGAACCCAATCAAGTCTGCCATATGGTTGGCAGGAACCCAGCTACTTAAACCCTCACGCTGCCTACAGAATCTGCATTAGCAGGAAGCTGGCATCAAGAGACGGAGGTTGGGATTGAGCCCAGGTGCTCAGATATAGGTCATCTTAATGCTAGGCCAAATGCCTGCCCTGATTTCCAAGTTCTGAAAACAACAGCAAGCACTGCCAAGGACTTCAAGTCAGATTACCCAACTAATGTTTCAGTGGCAAGAGCTTTGCATGGGGCTCTAACCAGCAGTCAATGGTCAGTTCTGTGTTTCCAAAATAGACCAAGAAGCCTGGCTCCTTGTGTGTGGTCGGGGAGTGACAAGCCATTGTCAGTTGCCCTCAGGTTGGGTCGGGGACCCTCAAGTGGATACATTTGGCACTTAACCTCTACACCTTGCATATTGAAAGAAGAGTCAAAGCAAGACAACCCAAAGGCTGGGGTAAGGAGTTCTTGAAATACTCACAGTACAGCAGAAATAGGGTCATTCCAACAACTTTAATCAACACTACCACAAGCGCAGAGATGATCATGTGCCAGTTCATGATGAAGGAGGTTTGTGGGCCTGTGGGGGTTAGAGCACACCGCCAGTCAGAATCCGAGGACAAGGCTGTTTCTCACCGGACACACTTCGGTCTCTTTTTAGAGCACCCTTGTGGGGCTGGCAAGATACGCAGGACAGCAGTAGGTACGGTGAGGAGACCTGGCCCCGTCCGGGAGACAGACAGGCACTTTCCCTGGTTGAGGGACTTTGAACTTGCCACGCTACCTCTCCCGCACCGGCCCCTCAGCTCTGGGCCTCAGCCTTGTTCCTCAATGCTTACTGGTTGCTGTCTTGTATTTCAAGAACTCTTAGCCTTGACTTTATCCCCACTTCCCAGGACCCCCGCGTGCAGTCTTGGCCACGCTGATTTCAGCTGTAAAAGTCTCAGTCCCCAGTACATCAGAGGGGACAGAGCAGATGTCCCTGGACCAACAGGCAGTGCAGAGGACAGACTCACCTGCTCTCTCCCTGGAAGGCTGGGCTGGCTTGCAGCTGGGGGTGGTCCCGGCCGCCTAATGCTTGGTGTGGGAGGCAGGGGCTTGGTCTCCTGAGGATATACTGCCTCTTAGGCAACATCCTGCTCTACTTCTCTCTGGCACCATCCTCCTCCTCCGGCAAACGCTGCTTCCTCTGCCGTGGTCTTGGCACAGGGAGCAGGCGGGGCCAAGAGGGGATGGGAGTCTGGTCGTGGCAAGAGAAGGTTCCTGCCAGAGAAGTTCTAATTTAGGGGATTCTTTCTAGGAGAATTTAGAAAACAAAAGGTCTTGAGACATATTCACCCTTGCTCTGTGACTGAATCCCCTCGGAACATGGTGGAAGAGTATGTAGTTACCAACTAAGGAATCCAGGCAAAGGGTATTTGGGAATTCTTTGTACTTGTCTTGCAACACTTCCTTTTATTATAGTTTTCATAACCACAGGAGAAGCTACATGAACCTGTTACCAAAAATGGGCAGACAATACTGACAAAGAAAACTGACCCATAAAAATCCATAAGGCCAAACATTTAGGTATAGTTGTTGTTACAGCTTCTGACTGTATTCTTTCAAGATGAGTAGGTAGACAAAAAGATGGGAAACAATGGAGATATAGATGCTGGTTCATTTTGAAAAGGACTGTATTGTCCATGTTATGTAATCCATATGCTGTAGAATAAGCTAACCCAGTGCTATAGTTTCCATATCAAAATACAGATGTTGATAGTGTGTTGTTTAACATACACATGGTATTCAGGTATAAAACCATATGATTAATTGGACAACTGTCAAACTTCTAGTAACAATCACTGGGTAAGAATAAAAGTTTTAAAGTTAGTCTGGGGGCTGGCACTGTGGCTTAGTGGGTACAGCTGCCACCTGCAGTGTCAGCATCTCATATGGGCGCTGGTTTGAGTCCCAGCTGCTCCACTTTCAATCCAGCTCTCTGCTGTGGCCTGGGAAACAATGGAAGATGACCCAAGTCCTTGGGCCCCTGCTCCTGCATAGGAGAACCGGAGGAGGCTCCTGGCTCCTGGCTTTGGATCAGCGCAGCTCTGGGCGTTGCAGCTATCTGGGGAGTGAACCAGCAGATGGAAGACCTCTCTCTCTCTCTGCCTCTGTCTCTCTGTAACTCTGCCTTTCAAATATATAAATAAATCTTAAAAAAATAAAGTTAGTCTAGGGGGTAGATTCCTGGATCTGGAATTTACTAACTGAATGTTCTTGACCAAATAACATAATAATATTTAAGTTCTCATGTGTTTATCTTTTAATAGGGGGAATTCCAATAAATGCCACATAAGATTGTTGTAATAGCAAGACAATCTTTATAATTTTGAAAACATGATACCTGGCATTTTGAATATAAATTCTGAATATAAATGGACAAATAAATGCTTTTAGATTTAATTACTGATTTTATGAAAATAATAGAGGAGTGAAAGTCTCTAAATATCTGATTAGAATAGAAAAAGAATTAGAAAATTGGAATATATTACTGAAATATTAATTTGGACTTTGGAGAAAAAGAAAAAATGGAACAAAATACAATTAGATGGGAAACAGCAGGACCTATGGGTATTAGATCCAACAGACGCTGTCATGGACTGTGGTCTACAAAAGAGAAAGCAGGAACATACAGCAGTACAAAGGAACATGAAGATATAAAAAGAAAAATGATCAAAGCAGTCATGCAAGAAATGCAGACGAAAAAGCCGAACAACAGGCAAAAATCAATGAGAAAACTACCGAACCTAGATAAATTCTGATGATTTCTTAAAAACAAGATGAATAACAATTTTACAAATTCCAGGGATGGGCAGTTAGCCTAGCAGTTAGAACATCAGTTAAGAGACCTGCATTCTGTATCCGAGTGCCTGGATCTCAGCACTGGCTGCCACTCCCTGCTGCAGCTTTCTGCTAACACAGACATGGGAAGCCACAGATGATGGGTCATTAATTTGGTCCCCGACACCAGTGTAGGAGACTTGAGCTCCTGGCTCTTGGCTTCATCCTGGCCCAGACCCAGCTATTGTGGGCATTTGGGGAGTAAACCAGCAGATGGGAGCTCTATTTGTATCTCTATGTTTCATAAATAAATAAAATATTCTAAATGTGTCTAGGTAGACAAGTCTACAAAGGAAATAAAAGATTAGTTTTAGATTTTTGTTAAAAATTCACAATCCTAGGAGATCATAGCTCAACATCTGGTTTTGATGAACAAACTGTGAGGTGGGGAGTAATAATAAAGTACAATATACAGAATGATTTAAAGTTGCCACAGAAGGCTGCTGTTAGACCACAGAATTTATAGAGCAGCCCCAGCCTTTCCGTGTTCATATCCAGAGTGCTCGGGGCCTGCCTGCAGTCTGAGTCCAGGTCTGACTTAGAGGAGCTGGGAAACAGAAGGGCTGTCCTCTCTCATCTGGAAACTCAACTCCTTTCTGGAGAATTCTGCAGGACTGTGTTCTTAGCCTGTCATTGCCTTGATTGAAACCTGGCACCAGAATACAATAGTCCATCCTTATAGTCTGGGCTTTTCAACCTGAATGGCACCTTCTCAGCTCCTCATCTCTTGTGAGCAAGTGCTCAAACAGAAAAACATACTTTCTCACACCCCATGAGCAGCAGATTGCAAATGGGCAGTACAAGTTGCAAACTCATGGCCCACATTTGCATTCAGTATGCAGCTATATTTAGTTCCATCTGCTCAGTGTTTTTAAAGTTTGGATGCAAATTTGGAAAACTGGGAGACTTTAACAGATATCTGGGTATCCAGAAGATCTGACAGTCTTGAGGACACAGGAGCAGGCAGGCGCTGGGGCTTACCAAGTCTCCTGGTGCCTGTCCTGTCTCACTACTCTACGGAAACTATTGTCATACTTGCAAAGCTGTTTTGTTTTGGAACAGAATAAGCGTTGATTAAAGTCGTGTCTTTACTGAAAGAGGGCAAACAAAAGATGGGATGAGGACAATGGGAGAGAAAGTATTTCTTTGTGAAAAGCAGCTGATATTTTATGCATTGAAATTGCAGTGTGGGTCTTTGTCAAGAAACGCAACTAAGATACCAGCATGAAAGAAATTAAAGAACAACTGCTGTGCAGAAGAGATACGTGACGAGAGCTTGATTCATTGAAAAGGACTAGAATTTCCACAGGATTAATTTTTGAATACAAATCAAACAAATGATGCTATTGTGAAAAAGGGGCAGTAAAGTTTTTCACATACGCTAAGTTTATCAAAGACTGTCTATGAAGGGGAAATTATGACTTCTACAAAATCAAATAGTTGCAAGGACACTCTAGCCAGAAAGACTATTGCTGGAAAATTGAGTGTGCATGGGAAATTAGTGGAGAAAAATTAAATATAAAGATACAAATGCATAATCCTAAGCAACTAGTTATATTTACTTTGTGGTATTGATGAAAAAATGTTATACAACCAATGAATTCATTAAATAGCACCCATGATATATGAAACATCATTAAATGATTTATTTTTGTATGCTAAAAGAAGCCTTGATATTTTAATATAGAAGGGTCAAATTAGTAATCATAAATACAGAGAAAGTCAGACTCACTAGTGAACAGCACTGTGGCAACATTTCACAACAAACTGCTCTGCTAATTGCTTCACTCACCAGGAAACACGCTGTGCTAATAATATATTCATGATGTGGTAACTGAAACTCTGTGGCAGACATCCTTGTATGTCTGGAACCACAAAAATCTGGGCCTTTGCATGATGAAGGACTCAAAACACAATAGTCAGATGTACTACACCCATGTGCTAAATGCCATTCAAAATTTTTATTTAATTTATTTGAAAGGCAGAGAGACAGAGACAGACATCTGCCGGTTCACTCCCCAAGCACCCACAACAGCTGGGGCTAGACCAGGCTGAAGTCAAGAGTGTGGGTTTCAGTCCCGGTCTGCTACATGGGTGGTAGCAACCCAAGGACTTGAGCCATCATCTGCTGCCTCCCGTGGTGTACCTCGGCAGGAAGATGGATCGGAAGTGGAGGCAGGACTCAGACTCGGGCACTCTGCTAGGGGATGAGGACATGAGCAAGCATCTCAACCCCCATGCCAAGCACTTGTATCATGCTAAACAATGTTGAAGTGAACAAGGGGAACACAGATATGTGGAGATTTAAAGTAGTCTGTCACGCCACGCTCTGCCTCCAGTCACGTCACCACAGGTTGCTGCAGTTGGTCTCACCTCTGTCTCCAAGCTCCTGCCCGCTCTGGCTCTCGGCCTCTGCAGTTGCGCATTGTGTTTGTGTTTGTGTTTGTGCTGCGGTTCTAACACCCACTACATGGGTCCATGGGGTTCTTCCTCCTCTTGTAGGATTTCCAGTGTGGCCTTCTCTCCAGTTCTCCCCTGCAAGTGCACTTCCTACCCCCTTTCTCTCACTGTTCATCCCTAATCTAGCACATCATGTCACTCCCTAATCCACCATCTTGGCATCTCCCCTGAGATTATTTTTTGTTTTTCAGTGTAAGCATTTACAGCTATAAATTTACCCCTTTTCTTTTAAACATCTTTTAAAGATTTATTTATTTATTTGAAAGGTAGAGTTTCAGAGAGGCAGAGAGAGAGAGGTCTTCCATCTGCTAGTTCACTCCCTAGATGGCCGCAATGGCCAGAGCTATGCTGATCCAAAGCCGGGAGCCAGGAGCTTCTTCCAAGTCTCCCACATGGGTGCAGGAGCCTAAGGATTTAGGCCATCTTCTACTGCTTTCCCAGGCCATACAAGAGAGCTGGATTGAAAGTGGAGCAGCTGGGACTCAAACCAGTGCTGGTATGGGATGCTGGCACTGCAGGCAGTGGCCTTACCTGCTACGCCACAGCGCTGGCCCCATATAAATTTACCCCTTACCAGTGATTTTGCTGCATCTCATATATTTTGTCATGTTGCGGTTTCATTTTTTTTCTTTTTTTTTAACTTTTATTTAATGAATATAAATTTCCAAAGTACAGCTTATGGATTACAATGGCTTCCCCCCCATAACATCCCTCCCACCCGCAACCCTCTCCTTATCCACTCCCTCTCCCCTTCCATTCACATCAAGATTCATTTTTGATTCTCTTTATATACAGAAAATCAGTTTAGCATACACTAAGTAAAGATTTCAATAGTTTGCTCCCATACAGAAACATAA